GATTACAGGATTCCAAACACATTCAACGCCGGTCTTGCTAGCACATTCTGAACGCGCAGAATTGGCTACAGAAGAATGTATCCTTACTGTAAAAAATTGTTATTCTTTTATTACATTTGTTGTCCTCGTTAATCCTTAATACATTTAACTAAAATTTGTCAACAAAAAGACATATCTTTATCCCATGTTCTTGAAGGTTTCGTCTTGCTTCGGAAGAATCCAGGCTTTATGGAAGAAGACAAAGATTAATATTAAAAAGGTTAAATTTGGAATAAAAATTTATTTGCAATAAATTACAAAAGGTATTGTCAAAACAGGATTTTTTTTTTTTAACTTTACCAGTATAAAATAGTAAATGGTGAATTAATGTACCACAATTCAATAAGCAAACTGTTAATAAGAAATTCATACAGTTTTTACCAAAAATTGTCTTTAAAAAGGTTAATTTATTACTATATACCTGATTTTTCATTATTAACAAGACACAACAGACACGATAGACCATACACATTGCTTTACACATCAGATGGTTCTTATCGTTGGAATTAATAGTACAAAAGCATTTTTCATAATGAAAACAAATGCATTGATGTTTCGATTATTATAATAAATATTGTAAATATGATCACTTTTCTTTAGGGATGATAAAGTTCTTAGATTCAGAACCGTTTTAGAACCTAGTTTTTAAAACCCATTCTAATTTGAGAACCAACCTTAAGTTAAATATAAATAATTACAATTTTGCTATCACGAGATATATATTTGTCATATTGTTTTTTTTTATTATTATTAAGGACATTTGCCAAATTGTAAAAAAACGATAATTAATTACAGAAAGACGAATAAGTAAAAAAAATAGCATCTAGCGAATAAAAAGTACAAAATAGCGAATAATTAAATTCTAATCAAAGAGCGAAAGAAATTAAAGATAGAAGAATAGTAAATCTTTATACTAAACTACCTTGTTGGGAGAGTTTAAATTGTCATTAAATAGATTTTGTAAATTATTTTTTTATAAAATTGACTAAATTATTCAAGATAAAAAAATCTTTGATAAGTTTGTAATAAAGAAAAGGTGTATTTTCAACGGATTTTAAAGCAAGAAACTTATGTTCATCCTTTTCAACCTATTTTTTAAAAAATATATAAAAATCAACTATAACTACTAAATAAATAAATAAATAAAATCTTTCTCAAAAATCCACAACATTTCTCGCAATAAAGCACTGCATTCAGTATTGTAACCATCGTATAGAAGAGCTTCTATCAATTTTGCCGAGTTTAACTCCGATGGTTGACGTGAGAAAGGATGCGAGAACTTGATGAAAGATAAAGGAACTCGTATTTCATAGTTATTAGGCATTTATTATAAAAAAGAATGTATTATTTATGTATTCTTTATTTAGGGATGATTCAAAGAGCATACATTAGATATATTAGATAGTGAACTAAAGGGCGAGAGCAACCCTTTATATACATTCTAAATTTTAGGTACGTACGTTTACGCTCCAACGGTTACGTTTACACTCGTCGCGTGCATCTATGTGCCCCAAACCGGTTTGAAATCCTGTATCCAGCCAATCAACATCAATTAGGTAGATACTACACGAACGATCAGTGTGTAACAAAAAAAAATCGTTTATTTCAAAAATCGTCTATATCTCGAAATTTTGCATATGAAACTATCTTTTGCGTTATAACAAAAAAAATTCCTTTCAAAATTTCGGTATATGTTTTTTTAAAACTCTACCCTTTACCCTAACGCTATTTTTGACCCTTCCCCTAATTTTAATCTTTAAAAAAATAACAACAATGATGATCATTTCTATTTTAGGTGGGGTACATAGATTCACTCTACACTCGTCTACGCAACCATGACTACGTTTACGCACGTTTATGCACCTTGAGTAACATACATATGATTAAGCCACTAAGAATATATAATAATGCCTAATGCTATAAAGACGACGATCAACTTAAATATGGAAGAGACACGGGGAAAAATTATTCGTTAAAACACATTTCGATATTACTGCTCAAAACATGACTTATACCGATGAACCCTCTACTTAGTAGAAGGTAGAAGAGAAGGCCTATTTATGTTTTTGACTTAAAGGCCTTCATTAGATTATATTTTCTTACGCGGTGACCTCAGAAAATAAACCAAAATAGGTACTGATTGTAGCGCTCTGTGGTGATAATCTGCTATATCCAAATTTCGTTATGAAAGGTTCATAAACTTTTTATTTTATTAGAAGCGCCAAATCTCGAATTCTAATCTAAGAAATCTCTCTCGTGAATTATCAGCCATAATACATATTGAGAAATTATAGGCATGGAGACATATTTCTCAAAATTCTTTAAAGTTTATTTGTATTGGGATAGTTAAGATTAGGGTTGGAAATAAGAAAAATACGTATACAGTAAATTGGCTCAAGGGAAAACTTTTTGTTAGTGCATAAATAACGTTTGTTTTGATCGTGTTATGTTACACGAAATTGTAGCTCGTTATTGGCTAACATATGCTGGAAATGCGTTTTCTGCCTACCAAATATTAAATATGCAATACAGTACTGGATAGTAGAATACATTCATTTTTTTGGTAATAAAAACAAAACTTTAATTTATAATCTAAAAGCTCTATAGATTTTTAACTATACAGTCAGACCTCTCTAAGTGCACGCCCTTGGGACCACACTTTAATAATGTGCATATAAAGAATAATAAGAAAATGTGCATTTATGGAGGTCATGTATATATTTGGGCTGGCACTTGAGTGTGCATTTAGAGAGGGTGTGCACTTGTAGAGGGTGCACTTAGAGAGGTCTGACTGTATATTGTAAATTACATTTTTACGTATTAGAGTTTTCCTGTTTTAAAAATATAATAAAGTTATCGACAATGATTAGTTGTAACGTTACACGATAAGAAAATTTAAAACAAAACGTTCGTTTTGCCAAAAATTGCTTATAATTTAAATGTCACATATGAAACTACTTTTGAGTTCTAACAAAAAAATTCCTTGCAAGATTTTACTATAAAACCACTTTTTATTCCCACTCTAACCTTAGGCTACGCAAAATTAATTAATTGGTTTTCATAACCCGGCCGGGTCAAATTTGAAAACTTGTAAAAAAAATTTTATGTTTTACAGCTGTTTTCATAAATTCTGGAACGTCTAGCAAAAAATTGACCGACCGAATATTTGCTGATTTGAGGGGTCGTCTAAAGCCAGGTGTGCTCACGTGACCAACAGCCAATCAAATAATAAATTTTGATTTACCCGGATCAGCC